CACAGTTCTATTGGCAGTGTCTGATGGAAATGATCAGAGACGTGAGTTTTTATGTTTTATGGAGGTCACGGTTCTACTGGCAGTGCCTGAAGGAAATGATCAGAGAATTGAGATTTTATATTTTATGGAGGACACAGTTCTGTTGGCAGTGGCTTAAGGAAATGATCAGAGAAGTGAGATTTTATGTTTAATACAGCATGTTTCAGAGGCATAAAGCAACATTCTGAGAATTTTGTTGCTGGCAAAAAGTCATATTCTTAGCAGTATAATTTTTCCACTAATGACTGTAACAAAATTTTGACAGGAGTAAAGCACTTCTACTTCTGTAATGTATATCATTGAAATGTTTCTTAGAACTTCACGTTATGCTAATAAAATTGCCTACCATGAGCCTCTGTTGTCTATTTGCTTTGTAAAATATTCAAGCATTTTAAATGGACCATAGTTTTTTTTAATGCATGGCACTCCAGAATACCAAAAAGTAGGCTGTTACACCAGTCAAGGTGAGTCAGGATGCCTTCTCTGGTTGATTTTCATGAATAATTCCTGTTTGGAGTTTTCATTTTAAGGGTTATGCATCATTAATAACTAAACACCATATAAATCATAATCACCTTTATCAATCTGTGCTTCAATATCCTCATAACTGCCTACTGGAGCCCTCTTTAATCCCTGGACATAGAAAAAGCCCATCTTGGGGTTCTGCCTGACTGGAAGGCCACCTTTTGGTTTGTCTTTGGACAAAAGATCTCTCACCTGCTCATTGTAAATCTCTAACATAGAGAAGGAGACCTCAAACCTCTGAAAATATATACAATAGAGAGTAAAAGCTGTTTTTTCACAGATTGTGATAGCTTTTCCACTGCAGACTTTGTCACACAAAATGGCAGCACTGCAGGAGGCAAGTGACTGCACTTTAAAGCATCCTCAACTTTTTTCTCAATCCTCTCATTCACAGCAAAAAAAAAAAAAGAAATAAATTAAATTTAAAAAATGGCAACTGAAACAAATCAGTGAACATCTGTAACTGTTCCATTTGAAGCAATGCTATATGAAAATGATACCAAGGAAAGAGTTATCATAACATCTTAATTTGGAAAGCAATGGATATCATAACTTCAAACAATGCATCTAACGAGATGTACTAAATGGAAGTTTAAATTCTACTGAACTCAAGGTACTGAAAAAGTGATTCATTGGACCGAATTAATTCTTTTCTTACCTTGTTGGGATCACTATTATTATTCACTGCTTGAAAGAGTTTGTCACAGGTCATTGGAACAATACCCCTGAAATAATTAAATTTTTCATTAAAATCAAATTGAATACTTCCTCCTTACCTGGGCATAACCTAAAGCAATCATTATAAAAATACTCAAAATTACTAGTACTTGTTTAAGTGTGTGTGTGTGTGTGTGTGTGTGCGTGCGTGCATGTGTGTGTGTACACACATATGTGCATTCCTATGCAATATACAGTAATGCATTGGACTGCTGCTTTGCACTCATACTAGTACATTTGTTGACAAATTATATGTGCGTGACTTACTTATTATTCCCATATCCCACCATAGAATACGACTTCCCAGAGCCCGTCTGACCATAGGCAAATAGAGAGCAGTTGTAACCTAGGAATAATGCATAAAAAATTCAAATCCATATCTGGATTAAATCAATCTCAGATGCATGCAAGTGGAAATCAATTATTATAATAAAAGCAGTGTTCAGAAGAATGACACGATGAATAATTAATTCGGTCAATAACACCTAGTATGTTTACAGTAACTTTGGAACACAACTGATTAAAACAGATCATATTATCTGTGTATATTGTTTAATGGCTAATGATGACAGTGACATTTTCACAAATGTTTTATTTTGCTAACACAAAAAGGGAGAATAGCACTCAAAGAAAAACTTAGTTAAGAACACTGTCTCCTCGATACAGGTAAGGATATAAATGTACACAAACACCTGTTAAACTCAATAGGTAGATTTCATAATTGTAAATATTTTTTCTTTTCATTTTCTGAAAGCAAACTGATATTATTTTAAAACAAAATTCAGCATTCTAACAACCACAATGCTGGCCTTGGACACTATTGATAGGCCTAACTTGTACTTCTAAAAGAAAGTTGCTGATAAGCATCTGTGATGTTTTGCCTTTATTTGATGTAACAAAAACCAAACTAAGAACAGCCAATGACATCAGTATCATTGAAAAGAAAAAATGCTAGCAACTACAGTCTTTGAAAGTAGTAGTATGCACTGCATGAAACACTATAGGCTGCTCAAAACTGGTCACAAACGGACGTCTTAGAACAGCGTGTCCACAAACGGACATCTTGGAACACCTTACTACACATGCCAAATAAACAATATGGCTTTGTTATCATAAGCGATAGGTGAATAAGAGAAATATTCATTCTTAATATGAAATTGGTGTTCTACCCTAAATTTTAAGGGACATTTGTAGTAATTTTGCACCCTTTGAGAATGTTTTAGCCAAGTGCATCTTTCTTTAGGTTATAGTATATAGGGAGCTTAGTACGAGTGCACTCCACCGTTCACAAAAGTCTTACAAATCATGTTCAATGGGATGAACACATAACTTATTGAGTAACAATAAACCATTCATCTTTAAATGACAACAGAGGTCACCACTTGTGGGTTAACCTCTGCCAATAAGCTCCCCTTAATTAAACAAAAATACGAGTACACTGTCTCTGAGCTCTCCAACAGAGCGCTGTGACAATGTTTACAGTGTTGCTAAGCAAGATTTATTCCCCCTGAGTACATAAATGGCCCTAATAAAACTGCAGTTTTGAAGGGTTCTTAAGAAGTCTGCTACATAAATGTCACCCACCACACCTAAGCCATAATTTGCTGGAGTTGTATGCAAACACATTTTCACGTAAACCCATGCTAAGGATTTCACCTTTCTTGACTTCCTTTTCAGGATGTCTAGACACGTTTGCTCTGGCAATACTATGAAAACATATTCCATAGGCACAGGCACAGAAAATATCTTTATGGACATTTAACACAAGGCATGAAGCTAACATTCAAAATCAGTAGACATAAAGGGGGTGTGGGTGCTGGTTAGGCATGTCCCCCCCCCACCCCCTACCCCCAATACCCCAGTTATCTCCCTGTGTGACCTGTCTGTGTTCGGTAAGAAGCAGTAATGCAGTCCTCAAATCCTCACTGTGAAAGTACATACACTGAAAAGTTACCAGCTGGTAAATGGCTAGATTAAATAGTGCTTCAATGAAATGTACTGCACAGAAAAAGCAAAGAGAAAATATTTGCTTTTATGCAAGGAGTAAAAATTGAAGTACTTATCAATTACATATGTTCCAGAGTTAAGTAAACCAACGGATAATTAAGATCATTAGACCCACATCACTACTGTTTTATGGCTGGCAACTTTGTCACCTCAGTTTTACTATGACATTCTACTGCGCCATGTCATTTTTTACAGTGTACAGTGTACTAGTATGTGTTTTGATCCCACTCCAAGAATTCATGATGTGAAAGCCCACGGCTGTCATAAAACTCAGACATTATATATCAATGGAGGTCAGAATACCTGGTTTACTAAAGGACAGACTTATCTTACACCAGACAGCATCATGAATACAACTGCAATATGTTACATATATTTTAAAAATACCTGTATATTTTACACTATCGATGGTTTTAATGTTTATTATCTAAAAATAAACCATTTTGAAAAAGACTGATTAAACCATGTCTGACAAGTCACCCATTTCATTAAATAATGATCACAGTATTAACCATCACTGCACAAGAGACCATCAATAACAAACCCATCTTGTTTTCATGTTGTTTTTAATTCACTGAGAGTGGACATATTTACTAGTATTAAAACCACATACTGTGCCAGAATGACATCCTGTACCCCCCTTCCCTTCCCTCCCCAGAGCACGCACAAATCTCTAACCTTTAAATACACTGTGCAGAATTTGGTTACCTAAGAAAATGCTTCCTAGTAGCTTAGCATAACAGGCCTGTAGCCAGGGGGGTTCTGGGGGTTTGAAAGAACTGCATTTTTTGTCAGGAAAAGGTCCACTCTGACTAAAATTTGATCTTGATATACAAAGGTTTCACTGTAAAGGGTCTACTTTTTTTTCAGGAAAAGAACCCCCATTTTGAAATTGCTTGCTACAGGCCTGCTTAACCACCACTTTTCCCCTCAAGTTATGCATAGCTCTTTACCTTCAAATACACTGTCCAGCACCCCCCCCCCCCCTCAAATTGTACAAAAAACTTTACCTTCAAAGGCATTGTCCAGTACCCCCTGGCCCAAATCCTTGAAAACAATGGGTTGGCTAGCGTATTTAGAACCAGCTGTCGGCTCCAGCACCCCGTCAGCTCTCTCAGTAAATCCATCATGAGACCTGGAGAAGAGTCACATATCAAATGTAATTCTTGTATATAAATCATTGATTGAAAAGCTCTGTAGTGCCATACTTGATTGATCAACTGTGAGACTTGTAATGTATCATTTTTTATTTATGTCACATCTACATGACTTCTGTGTTTTTAACAAGTGTGCTTAATTTACTGATATTTCCAATATCAGCCAATGCATTTTTGATAATTTTTCACCAGTCGACAAAGATACATTAGACTTATTTCAAATAACTCATTCCAAATAGCATCAGGCTGGTTCTTGTGAGTTAAAACTGCAAGGTAATATATTTAAGACAATATATTTAAGATAGTCAGGATGTAAATTATGTACTAGTACATGTAATTCATATAAAAGAGAAATGGCCTCATTACAAAGATAATTTATTATCTTTTCTCTGCATATCAAACTTACCAGTAAGAAAAGTCAAAGGAAAACTGGAAGTACGCAACAGATCATGGAAAAGAAAAAAAGAAAATCATATCAAGTATGAAAATATAATATTACTGGAAAACTAAGCACCACTTTTTACAATGACTGAGATTACATTTCTTTTGTCTAGTTACAATTTACTAAAACAAATGTCTCTACTTGATATCTAATATAAAAAGTGATGCAACTGGATGAATCCAACTGAAAAACACCAATCTTGAATTTTGTTTTCCAAAATCAGTTTTTAACTGACAGATTTGCTTTATTTTCCACATGCCACCTGTCCAACAGGCAACAACTGTTATGCATCTTCTGAAGACTGCATGTTAAACCCTCACATCTATGAATCGCTTTATAGGTGCTAAAAATAATTGTATGGTGAGCTGCGTAAATCATGGGTTTGGTGGTTAATATGGGCATTAGTGTTAAAAGATCTGCGGGTTGTGTTTATAAATGCTTTTCAGATTAAAATCAAAATGCGTTTATAAGGCCAGGGATTGAAAGTCTGCCAACAAACCTTGCTGTCTGTCATTTGGCTCAGCTTTCTAGCATCGCCTGCATCAGTGCAGATCCTATTCATTCATTCATTCATTCATCATTCTACTAATCAATTACCTACAGACTGTAGCTAATGTCACAGACATATAATTATGACTGGCTGCCTTTCATTACGCAGCTATTTTATTTCCTATTTAAATAACACAGAGTCAATCATATCAGGGCTAACTGAAAATAAGGGACTGTTCCCACAGATATTTGGATCGATCTATCTCCCCTAGGGAGGTTCGCTAAATGGTTATCAAACTAACTGGCTTAAATGTCTGTTACACCTAGTAAAGCTGTTAGGGGGTAATTCCCGGTGCTGATTCGGTAAGCATGACAGACATTTAAGCCCATTCAGTTGATAGAAATTTAGTGAGACTTCCCAGGGAGTTAGACCGATCTAGACATGGGAACCCAGTCTAAACCTCAACATTGATTTAATTCAACAATAGGGCAGAAGATACCGTAGCGCAAAAAGGTTGGATAGTGTGCAGTGGTTATGAACAAATACATCATACATTTACATGAAGTGATGAGAAGCCATACACTCTGTCTGTCTGGAGTTTCAATGCATTAGACATTGTTAATTGCAAACGCTGGTTCTTCCCACTGAGCCATCAAACCTCCCTGGTCATGCTTCCTTAATCATTCATCCCTCTAACAACGCAAACATTTGACTTAACTTAATTTTTCTTTATTTCCTTCTTTTTTGTTTAGCTCGTTTGTTTAATATTGACTTTTACTACTTGATATATTGTAGTTATCTCAGCAAATTTGATCAAGGTAATTTGGTGGACTTTTCACTTAGTTTGTTTCATTCTTGTACATTAGAAAATAGGATGTTGCATTATTAATGTAATATTTACTGGCACTGAATCTATCTTTACCACACACTTACCTTTTTTGGTTCCTCTGAAAAATAGATGAAATAGAGAAGTTTTAATGAAAAGTAGGCAATGACAAGAAATTCTGCAGTGCATCTATTTTATGATTGTAGGCAGAGCTTTGTTTACTTACACAAAAATGCATTAATCACCAAAGCAAACATACACAAACCTTTAAAATATAGTGTTATTTATATTTTTAATGAACAAAGTAAAAATTTTTTTAAATGAACAATGTAAATAATGATACTACAACAAAAATTTAATGTGAAATGATAAAATACACAGTGTCTTGAAGAGAGAGAGAGAGAGAGAGAGACTCATACCACTAGGTGTCTCTGGGTTTTTAATTGTTGTAAGCTGTCCTTGCATATCAATAATTAATTTGGCTCCATGGTCCTTCTCCCTACATCATAATTGAAAAATATCACCATCTAATTATAATTCAGATTAAACAGGAATGGATTTTATTTATAGGTTTTTCTGCCCACGGAACCTAAGGCGTGTCCTGTCATTTAATTGAAAGGATGGAGCATTTATTCATTTTAAAAATGTCATTTTTGCAAATCGTGAAAAAATGAAAAAAAAATGCCTCAGTATACACATTCATTTGGTTTTATGTTATTCTTTTACTGTGTGAAATAATAACTGTCAGTTGGTCAAGTATTACACAATTCTATGTACTAGTATGTTTTACTGGGGGGGGGGGGGGGGGGGGGGAGAGGGGAGGGGGGGAGCTGAATTATGTTTTAAAGTTGAGTCATTTTCTTTCTAGGTCTGCAACTGAACCAAAACTCGTGGGAGTTTCTAATCAAATCTTAATAATAATCATAATGTTCCAAAGACAAATTTTCAAGTTCTCGTTAACTATAACCAGTTTCTATCTGTGTGCTGTATTAGCACCATTAACTTCCTTTATAAATATGCATGTTTTTCGTGGCTATGTTATCGTGGTTTGTATAATTTATCATGCCAAAGAAGGTCGATCGAAAACAAACAAATATGACAACCTACAGAGTATGCGGCCACTAATATATCTCGCTACTGCACTACTGCATTTCCATAAAATGTTGTAAACTAGTAATGATACGGTGCAAGAAAGGCAATCTGAATTCATACCTTTGATTGAAAGGACGGACCCTCACTGCCACCCGAACCCTGCAAAGATCAAACAAAAAATATCACATAAACGCTTCAAAATTTTCCAAAATTTCAACCTAAATAGATGCACCATAAACATTACTTACGACTCAGCTTCAGACATGGTTATTAAAACCCCTTCAAATGATAAAATAGTCCTTTACAAAAAAACCTTCACGCGGACCAGCCGCATGAAATTGACCACTAAAATGTTGTTTTCTTCGCGACTTGTGCATACGTCATCAAAATGTGTGCACTTGTAATTTACAGTGCGTGCTCGTTGCCAAGGGTTGCTACAATAAATGTACACATGCGTTACATATTTCAATAGGGATCAATACTTAGGTGTACTTCGCAGCCTAGCAAGAGGACAAATAGAAATATACATAGGGCAAACAATTGTATAGTATGACAATCTATAAACGGTGAATTGGTCACAATTTATCAACTTTTACGTGTCTAATAATCCGAACAATTTATGTACCGTAGTGCGTACTAATGTGAGTAGGCCCTACATGTAGCTATACTGTATATAAAGGCGTCTAATTTGTGAGATATTGATTTTGACAAACTTTTTTTCTATCAACCGGATAAACCACTATACAGAAATATTATGGATCATCTGGGATTTTGAAAAATCAGTAAAAATACATAAAAAGGCTTAGTCAATGGTTTAGCAAGGAAAAAGATCATGATCGATATCAGTGTCCAATCTTTTAACATTCGAAAGGTTTTACACTGAAATAAATCATTGAATTTGGGGAGAAAGCAGGGAATGCATTTGTTCCTATCAATATTCATTAAGATCATTAAGGACATGACATTTTCCTCTGTGAAACTTGACAGGTAAACTTAGCCATTATTTATTTATTTATTTATTTATTTATTTATTTATTTATTTATTTACCTCACCCTATTTATTATTCAATCATTTATTGCTTACTGTTTTATTTGCAACGGCCGGTGCGTCTTAAACACGACGAATGCTGAACATATTTAGCGATCAGCATCTATTAGCATATGTGCTGTGAATGGCAAAATTATTGCAACGACTTTTCTCCAGACCTATTGAAATTTTTAACCAAAAATCGACTTAGATAGACTTTTAGGCTTACAAACATAAATCTAAACACAGACAATCCCAGATTCATCAAGTTAAAGTCTGCATTGTATGCTAACAATACGTTATCTGATAAACTCCATTGTGCTAGGTGTGAAGTGCACGCTGTATTTTCTCAACTAACGCAATTCGCCTTATTCATATAGACCATAATCCTTTGAGCGCAACAGGAGTTGCGAGAATCTTCACCACCTGCTTTGTGTGGCTAACTTGACGGAGAGCCCACTCAGCTCTCAGTTTTATCTGTTTATGTAACTGAAATCATAGGGAATGATTTTCGAATGTTTCACTCGTTTCACCATTGTAACAAATCGTCTCAATACCATTAAACGAACTTTTTAAAATCGCCGCCTTTACTCAATGTGCAGGGACGGATCCAGGATTATTTGAAGGAGGCGCGGATGCGAAGCCGAACCCCCATGGGGTTCGTTGCCCCGAAAAGTTTTGGTATTTTAGAGAGCGAACGGTGCCATTTGGTACGGTTTAGAACTATTATTCAGCTAGTCAAAATTCTAATTTCAAGAGGGGACCACTGATATGTTTTTTTTTTCAGAAATCGAGGGTGGGTTAATACTAGCTAGAAAAAAAAAACTTTTAGCATGTAGGCCTATGTGATTATCTTTAATGATACGTAATATCTTAACCTGAGTTTCGGATTATTCAGAACCGTGCAAATTTGGTAACGAATTAAAATTACAAACAAGCTACGTTGTTTTAAAATAGGGGGGGGGGGGGGGGCTACTACTGTACTTCCTTGGTACATGCTAAAAAATCTTTATCCTAAAATCGCTATTAGAAAACCCAAAGCAGAGAAAAATAACAAGTTTCAATCATTTAATTCTCACTCTTTGCTTGCTCAGGTTCATTCTGACGATCTGTCGGGAATCCCACTCTTTAATCTCAAAGCAAGACAAACGATCCTTAGGACCTAACTTCTTATTTATCAAATTAACAAACAAAACGACCTCTTTAGACTTTACACAATTAACGCATTGTTAAGTATTACGAACTAGAAAGATAACACGTGAAGTTACTGAAAATCCTCATGAATCTTACAATGTCGCCGACAAGATGCCATACGTGCCAGCTTCTTCATTTTTAAATCTCAAAATGGATGTGATAATACAGAGAAGATGCCACGCATCGGGTTTGAAGCTCAGGCCTTTCAAACCACAGGGCACTCTCAAATCTACACTTCCCAACGCCCCATTCCTCAAACGCAAGCTGTTATCAGAATGAAGATATCGGTAAAAACGCAGCAAAATATTTGTAGACACGATTTTGAGGGTTTTTTTAATAAAGCATAGTTAAAAAGGGATAAAGTGAGAGAATACACGGTGTAAGTGATTATTTTTTATAGGACTTTAAAGTATTTTTCTTGCATTCTGTCAAACGTGATGCCTGGCTTTTATGCCGTTTACGTCGTAATAAACTAGGAGTAAGATTTGTTCTTTTGTGACGTCAACATAAAAATAGTAAATAAACTTAAACACGAATAAAAAAAATTTAATATGAAATATACAATGGAATAAAAGTATAAAATACATGTATATTATGGAATACAAGCAATTTAAATATATACATCAACAAATATACTCCAGTGCGGTAATATTACGTTCGACAAGATAATTTTATAACAGAATATTTTGCTGAGAACAGGACCGATCTGTGTTCTCTAACGTGTAGTCTTATCACTTGATATCTGCACGGCAGATTGATTGTCATAGAACACCTGTGAAGTACCAGCATGTGCTTCTCGGGTAATTTGCAGGGAATTAATTACATCAATAAGTGATAAGATGAAAAAACAGGTGTCCAAGAAAACAGTGTCTTGTAGTTGTCACCACGTCCGGTTGTCATAATGATCGATAAATGGTTTTATTAAACACCGGTTTATTGTGGATAAAACAACTATGTGTAAAATTATTGTGCTTTAATGAAATGATTGCCATGAGGTGTCATTTTGTGTAGGTTGAAAGTTGTTGAGCTCTTGAGCCTTAACCATAGATGACGTCATCCCGGTTTGCGGCAGCCACAGTACTGGTACAGCACTGACATTTGGTGACTCCGCTTTTCTCCTTTAATCCCTGTTTTCTTGAAAATGACATTTGCTTTTCTCTATAAATCAATATTAAGTCAACAGATTTATCATTAATCACTAGGGGGTAGCTCAATGAATAAAAATCCCTAAATATACTGTAACTTGAAGATAGAACATGGGATTATACACGTAATAAAACACTCATGAGCTGGTTGTAAGTTACATATTTTTCTCTTAGTTTAAACAAATTGAAATCGTAAATGCAGTACTCCTTCGGAATAGTCAATCATTTTCGTAAAGAGTGTACAAACGATCTTGGCACAATGTGTTATATATATATATATATATATATATATATATATATATATATATATATATATATATATATATACCACAGTGCACCTTAGCATGACATTTAGGCTTTGTAATAAATCCAAAGCTTAAAGTAAATAAGGGAAAATGAAGGCGAATTACATCAGGAAGACCTACTTTGTATTCTGTTAAAAAATATCATGTTTTTATATTACTTTCATCACTTCTTAATCGTTTTTATATCACTTCTGAATCGTCGTTATCAGAGTCACAAATGAAATACCCAGCAACGTGCAAATCACAGGTATTGAAAGCAATCAGGTGTCAGATACCACTCAAATCTACATAATAAGTGTGCTCAAATGACATTGATCACACGTGAAGATACACGTGGTCACGTGCGAACATTCAGCATTGTTTTCGCTCACAAAGTTAGGCAACATCAACACAGAACGGTGAACGCAGACAGGGCACTTGCAGATTTAAAGAGAAGAGTATGACCAACACCATCGTCATGTTAAATGAAACTTTGGAGGCTGACTTTGTTCCAATGAACGGATCAAACGAGACCGCTCTCCCCTGTCAACGCATGAGCTGCATCATCTTTATAACAGTGGAAGCCTTGATATCGCTGGTATCGGTAACGTCTAATTGTTTTGTCATTTTTGCGTTTTGGAAGTTCAAGTGGCTTCGGTCGAACACTAACATTGCAATTGTGAGCTTAGCACTGGTTGACGTTTTGACTGGTCTGATCAGCATGCCTTACAATATAGTCCTAGGGTATCTCACAGACATCTTTCCAGCATTGCATCATTTGGCCCTCAACAAGTACTTCTGCCTTGGGAAAATAGCAACAATGAGTATATGCCTTGGACTTTCAATGCTCATACAGTCTCTGATTTCTTTTGAAAGATACATGAAGATATGCCAGTATATTCACTATCACAGAGTTTTACCAAAAAAGAGATTTTATTTGATCACTTTCATGTGCTGCTTGTATATAGTCTCTTTCAATTCTATACCCTTCATGGGATGGAATAACTGGGCTCCAGGCGTGGAATGTAGGGCGGACACCTCTATGTCAGGCTTTCTACGCTTCATTGTGATACCACACATTCCTATTTGTCTGTTGGTTGCTTTAGGATTTTACATCGCAATATTTAGAAAAGTCAAGGAGAAAAACCAAAAAGTTGGGCAGTATGGCAATGCTTTTCAGCATGCTTTATCGCAAAGGCTTCTAACTGTTAAACCAAAATACCAATCAGCTAGGAACAGAGTGTCGCCAATGTTTCCGTCAGTTTCTGACCCACCAGCTTCTCCGAACGCGACTAGCCGTCCCGGAGGAATAAATACAGTTTCAAGTGTCGTCCAGGGACCCAGTGTGGGAGGCGAAAGCGGGGTGCCTGGTCCCAGTGGTTTGGGGTCATTGACAGCAGCTGCGTCTGAGGGCGATCCTTCCACGTCTCATATCCGCTCTAACAAGTCAAAAAGGATGAAAATCAAATTACCGACCAGCGACACAGAGGCAAAGCTTGCAAAAATGACTGCAGTTATTCTCGGTAGCTTCTTTGCTCTGTATTGTCCTTACCCGATAATATTCTGGAGCGAAAAGTACTTTGAGAAGGGAAGTTTGACCTTTGCTGTTCTTCGAAACATTGCCATTGAATTAGCATCCTTAAGTTCAGCAATTAATCCGTTCATATACGGTTTGATGAATTCCAATTTTAGGCGAGCATTTTTCAAAATGTTAAATTTAAAAATT